TCCATCCATCTCTGCATCCATTCACCTATCTATCCATTCATCTATCTATCATCTATCCATATACCTATCTATCAGTGCCTATAAGGTACCAGGCACTGTGCTTGGTGTTTAGAGATTTAAAGTCCCAAATTAAATAGCTAGTGTCTTCAAGGATATTAGATTCTACCTGTGGGTAGAATTTATATATTTCATATATATATTACATATATATTATATATGTGCACATATATGTGTATACATGCATGTATGCACCTACATATACCTGACCATTTATACATATGTGTAGACATCCATACATATGTATGTATGTGTGTGTTGTTAATTAGATAACATTATATTCAAATATGTATTATTTTAAAATACATTTCTATAGCATCTGAAAGTTTGCAAAAGACTTTACATATGTTATCTCATTTGAACCCCACAACAGCTTTATAAGATAGGTGCTATTATTTTCCCCTTCTTACAGATGAAGAAACAAAGGTTAAGTGACTGGTCCTCAGTCTCAATGCTAGTAAGTATCTGAGGCCAGATTCAGCCTGAGGTCTTCATGATTCCAGGTCCAGTGCTCTATCCACTGAGCCACCCAGCTGCCTCTCTCCCATCCTTGAAATTATTCCTTTGTAATATAAGAAATAACTAGATGTTAGCAAATAATGTCAACCCTACTGCTGATGAAATTCCCAGTGCCCTGTCCCTCTATGAAGGAGCCTTGTTCTCTGCCCTTGTGACCTCACACAGATAAAAGAAAGAGAAAGGAAGCATTCTTCCTATGTCTACCAGTTGCTGCTCAAAGTAGACCCAGGGAAAATATTGTCAGGTCATCTATAGCTACACATTCTACTTTCCCATGTATAGATTGGTTTGGAGCTGGGGGTGGGGATCTAGTGTTTCAAACTCCCCCCCATTTGTTAAAGTCCTTCTCTCCTTTTGTCTTCCCCCTCCTAAGAAATTATTTTACTTGCAAGCATCTACTTAGCAGAGGAAAGAAAAACCTTACTTGTAAAAAAAAAAAAAAAAGAGGCAGAATCTTATCAATCCATTCATTTACTTGCTTTTCCTGGTATATTTGGAGGTGCTGTAGATTGTGGCTTTTGTTAGGGGCTCCATTTTCCTCCATGAGCTACTCATTCCAGCCTGAAGTTCTAGGCAAGAATGGGACATGAGCTGTTTCATTCTCAGGACCAGAACCAGCCTCATAGCATCTGTGTCAAGCAGGGAGATGGCCAAGGCACATGTAGCCTCAGCATCCTTTATCAACCAGGTCATTTCAGTTACCTCAAACTCCACATCTTATCAAGTGAGTGGCTTTTGTTCCTTGAAATTCTGGACCGGGCTAGCCAATCTAGATACTACTGAGAATTCTCTTTCCTCACCCCCATTTCTCTTTTATCCAACAAAAGTCTTATTTGATCCCAAATAAGAGCCAAAGCCAATCATTTTAAGTGGAGCAATTTCAGTGGCTCTGTGTGGGCTCTTCTACCTTCTATAACAGAGCCGATGACTTGCTCTGTCAGGTCAGTGACAGCACCCCAGGTGAGGCCCCCATCTGAACTGGTCACATAACAAAGTCGGGCTGCATTCTTGCCAGTCATGATCTGGAAGGATTCTGGGGTGTTGCCCAACACCGCAATGAAGAAGAGGAAGACAGTGCCGGTGAGCTCATCATACACAGGGCAAGGATTCATGGACCGATGCTTCTCCAGAGATGCTGTCTCCACAACTCGCATATCTCCCCACTGGAGAGAGAAGAAAAACATCAACACACTCTTCTCGCTCTATGTCAAGCTTGCCATCCATCTCCATTCATGATTCTCTCGCCTTTCTCAGTGTGCTGCACACTCCAAATTCTCTTTAACTTAGAGGCTGTCAATTGCCTTGAACAATGGATCTAAAATCTAAGTTCAAGCACGTCATTGGGCCAAAAGACCAGACCGACCCCTGCGCGCAGCTGGAGGAAACCACTAGGCTAGAGTGATGGGAGAAGTACCAAGGAGAGAAGTACAATTCATGAAAAGAGCACCTGGGTTCAAGTCCTGGCCCTGACACTTACTAGCAACATGACCCACAGCAAGTCAATTAACCTCTCTGAGTCTTAGTTTCCCTATCTGGAAAATGGGGGTAATAATGCTGAGGGAGAGGGACTAGGCCTGTTATTTCACTCTACCAGGGCAGGTCAGCTCCTTTTCTTCAACTTAGAGTCCCAGAGAGTTTCCTAGAGCACTGAGAGCTAAAAAGGCTTTGCTGAGTGAGGGTCACCCAGCCAGGAGGTGTCAGAGGCAGCTTCAGTCTTCCAGGTTCTAAGGGAAACTCTCTACTCACTACCTACTGTGTGCATGGTACTGTGCAAAGGTGACTAAAGGCTCCTGCCCTCAAGGACCTTACATAGAATCACAGATGTAGAGCTAGAAGGCCATCTAGTCTGACCCCCTCATTTTACAAATGAGGAAACTGAAGCCCAGAGAGGTTAAATACTTTATCCAAGGTCACAGAGCTGGTAAGTAACAGAACCAGGATTTGAACCCAGGTCCTCTGACTCCAGAGTCAGAGCCCTTTCCACCATACCACACCACCTCCTATGAAGCACTAGAACAAAACATTCCTGTGAAAGTTGTGATCACATTCACATCTGGGGGATTTGGTCATATATTTGTAGCATGTAATAGTTACTTGAGTATACAAAGAATCTAGGGAAGAGGTACCTAACCTGGAGTTCATGAATAGATTTCAGGATAGCCATCAATTTGGATGGGAAAAAATTACATCTGTATTCTCATTAACCTCTCACTGAAACTTAGCATTTCCTTCTATTATGAATGTAGACAAGAAATCGTTATTCTAAGCAAGGGTCTGTAGGCTTCACTAGACTGTCAAAAAAGAATCCATGACCTAAAAAAGGGTAAGAGCTTCAATCTAGGACTTACTCTCTCCCGGTATGGGAACTCTCTCCACTGATGGAGATGCCAAGCAAGTGCAGAACTCCTGACTGTGTCCATTTCTTATGATGATGATGATGATGATGATGATGATGATGATGATGATAGCTGATTTGCATATAGGACTTCAGGTTTGCTTTACATACATTATCTCATTTGACCTTCATAACAACTCCATAGAGGAAGGTACCATGACCATTATTGTCCCCATTTGACAGATGAAAAAACTAGACTCAGAGAGGTTGTTACAGTTATGTCAGAGCCTAGATTCAGCTCCCTGGTAGCTCTTGACTCCACTCCCAGCATCAAGAGCCAACATGCCACACTGCCTCCTGATGCTATTGCTCGTTCTAGCCTTTAGCCCTCTCCTTCCCAGGATGCACCAGCTCCTACAGAAGGTAAGGACTTCTAAGGCATCCCTCCAACCTCTGATACTGCCCCTGCCCTGTTGCTGCAGGAGTCTTGGTCTCTGGAAATAAAATGGTGATGTTTCATCTGGGTCTCTCACATAGAAGCCCATCAATTCAATAAGTGGAACCCACAACTTGGCCACAATCCCTCAACAGTCCCCACCCAAGTCAGCTTATCAAGGTATGTTTCTCATGCTTCCCTGGAAGGTTATTCCATGGCCCAGGTGTCACTCACCTCCACATATGTCCTGTAGAAGGCCCCCCTTCTCAGGACCAGCACATTTGCATGAGAGTCATCAGGGGTGAGCCTCTCCTCTGCAAAGGCCAGCAGAGTGGCCCTCTTGGGGATATAGAGCAGGGCAGGTATCCTATATGTCGTGCCAGCTTTCTCCCTCTCAAACAGCACTGTCCGAGCAGGGAAATATGAGCTACTCATGGCTTTCCTGGAAGAAAGGAAAGGACACACAACCAACCAGTGTGTAGGAAGTATGAGGGATGGGGTAGAAAGATAGGAACCAAAGACTCCAGGGCTCAGGCATAGGATCTAAATCTTGCATTTTAATTATTATTAAATTTTTGCTTTAAGACATTCCCAGACAAAAGGAGCTTTCCCCCAGGTAAATGAAGTAGTTTTTCCAGTGTTTTCTACAGTGTTTCCAGAGTAAGGCTTCAGAGTCACAGAATCAAAGATCAAAGGGATCTCAGAGGAAATCTAATCCCACCCATAGCAGAAAATAATCCCCTCTACAATCTACTTTGATAAGTAGCCATCCAAGCTTTGCTTAAAGATTTCCAATGAGGAGGAGCCTTTTCAGGCAGCCCATTACACTTTTAGATAGCTTTGATAGCATAACTAGGTAAGTGGTAGCGGTATAGCTGTGCAGTCCTCTAAAGACAGTCAGGACCATGGACAGAAGTGGGCTTCAATTAACCCAACAAGCTGCCCACACCAGCACTCACTGGGTCTTTATTTTATCTCGGAGAATGGCTTAATTAGTTTGTAGAGTAAGCTTACTCTCCCCATCTATTCGTCAAGCCTGTCACTTCCTTAGTAAGGGGTTTAGTTGAATTAAATAAAAGGGTAATAAAATACAACCAATAGGTCCTAAGAGAAGGAACCATCTCAATGGATCCCAACCCCAAAGGCAGAGCTTGCTTCACTCCTGCTCATTCTAGCTGAAGGGTGAAATAAAAATCTCCTTGCTGATCCTCATTTTATATTTAAGGGAAAACAAGGCAGATTGGGGTGAATGACCCAGGGTCACAAAGCTAGTAAATGTCTGAGGCCAACTCGTCTTCCTGATTCCAAGCCCAGTGCTATTCAAGGAAGTTTTTCCCTTATATCAAGTCTAAATTTACTTCTTTGCACCATCTATCCATCACTCCTAGTTCTTCCTTCTAAGGTCAGACAGAACAGGTTCTACTCTCTCCTCCATCATAGTCCTTCAAATAACTGAAGACAGCTCTCTAGTCCCCCTTGAGTCTCCTCTTCTCCAAGCTAAACAACCCCAGTTCTTTCAACTAGTCCTCAAATGGCATGGCCTCAATGCCCTTCATCCTCTGCTTACTCTCTCTGGATACACTCCAGCTTCTCCTTGTCCTTCTGGAACCCAGAGCTGGACACAGTACTCTGGATATGGTCCGACTAGCATGAGGAAGAGGAACCATCATTGATCTATATTCAAGTCAGAAAGGGCTACATGTAGTAGGTCATAGCTGAATTGGACCTTGAAAGGAGAGGGATGAGAGAGAGAGATGTCTGTCCCAACTATAGCAGAAAGCATCAGAAAATTCGGAGACTACAGAGGACAATGTGAGAACAGGAAAAGGAGCAGTCTCTTATCTGCTCTGTGAAAGAAGGTAGTATGAGATATTGCCCACAAAAAAATACATAGACCCTGGAGCTGACTGGCTGAACACTAAATTTACAGTTTAGCCTTCCCAAATTTAGTCCCCATTAAAATGCAAGTGCCCCTTGGAAGAATAAATAATTAAACTGTTGACTTTAACTTAGGTCTTTGAGTAAGGTTGTGATGGGGGGAGGGGTTAGGTTGAGAAACATGATGGCAGTGGACAGCTGAGTGAAGCCCACAAGAGGGGGACCTGATCAGTAACTGTGGCCTGAGACCAACAGGACTTTGGCCCAGGGTGCTACCACAAGAGAGGAGAAGAGCATGCTTCCCTACACCTCATATCATCTGAGATGCTTTATGTCATGACTGCCCCAGGGCTGCCACTCTCAGAGCCCCATGGCCTCATCCTTTCTTCCCCAACCCCCATGAAGGTGCAGGCTAGAATTCAAATGAGGTAGACCGCACCCTATCCCAGGGCAATTATACCCACAATTAGACTATTCTATGTATCATCACTGTCCTCTTCTCTATCTGACTGTCTTGCTTCCTGCCACCCCTGCTCCACTCCCCAACTATTTTGAGATGACATTTGCTCAGCTTTGGACTCAAACCACAGAGGCCAGCTTCCAGCAGAGGGCCATTCTCCTGCCTCCTTTCTCAGTTGCCATGGAGATCCACATCATAGGTCTGCCATGGAAACAGTGGAGCTGGCTAAAATTGATATCCAGGGTTCATGTCCAGCACACATCAATGAATGAGAATGAGAGAAATGCTCAGCTGAGATTGGTGTCAGAAGGGAAAATAGGCATGCAAGGCTATCAGCTCCCACCCTGGGGCCGTAAAATGCAACAGAGCTGAAAGGAACCTCAGGATCTGCCTAGTGCATCCACCTCATTTTACAGTTAAGGAGGGAGCCCCAGAGAAGATGAGCAACAACCAATGTCACATAAGCACAGAGTGGCAGAGTCAGACTTCAACTGAACCAAAGCTTTCTGACTCCAAATCCACAGGGGGAGCCACAAGAATGGGGTGGGAGGTTGCAAGTGGAACTTTCTCCACCAAGACCACCCCCAATGGCCTGTTGGCCTTAAAAATAAATCCTTTTCCCTGACTAAAATGGGAGGATAAGAAAAGCTCATACAGGAATCCCCTCTGCCATGTAGCCAATAAGTGAACATCCCCACAATATCTGTTGGAATACTTCCCATAATGGGCAACTCACTACCTACCAAGATAGCCCATTCTGCTTCGAGAAAACTGATGGTTAGGAAAACTTTCCTCATTTTGAGCCTAAATTTGCAGCTTCCACTCATGGCTCCCAATTTTGTCTTCTGGGGTCAAGAAGAACTCGTCAGATCCCTCCTCTAGGTGACAGCCTTTCAAATATTTCGATTCAGGTATCATGTGAGTAGAATGTAAGGTCCTTGAGGTCAGGGACTTATTTCTTCTAGCCTTTGTGAACCCAGGGCATAACTGAGGGTCTAGAATATTTGAGTTGTTCAGGTGTGTTTCAATCATGTCTGACTCTTCATGACCTCATTTGGAGTTTTCTTGGCAAAGATACTAGAGTGGTTGGCCATTTCCTTCTCCAGCTCATTTTACAGATGAGGAAACTGAGGTAAACAAAGTGAAATGACTTACCCAGAGTCACCCAGTTAGTAAGTGTCTGAGGCTGGGTTTGAAGGCAGGTCTTCCTGATTCCAGGCTTGGCACTCTATCCACTGCGCCACATCACTGCTCCACCTAGAACACAGCAAATGTTTAATAGTGCTTATTGAATTGAGTTGAACAGAATCTGCAACCTTGGGTTGTTTTTTCAAATTCAATCCACCTTCAGCACAATTTCTCCAGTCATCCCAATAGGTCAAAAGGAAACTCTATCAGGTTAGGCGAAATTAGATTAATGTTACCCCAACAATGTTCTTGGAGGGTATTTTGAGGTGGGGAAGAAATAAGGGGAAGGTAGATGAAGAAATATGGTATGGAAATTTGGGGGCATATAATTATTTACTCCTAAAGCATGGAAACACAATTATCTTTCAGGTATGAAGACAGCACAGTAGTGGAAATAGAGCCAGACTAGGAGCCACCAGACTTGGGTTCAGATCCAGGTTTTACCACTAACTGGCTGTGTGGCTTTGGACAAGTCACTTAAATCCTCTGGGCCTCCAGTATCTCATTCATGAAATGAGGTAGCTTGGACTAGGTAACCTCCAAAGGTTCCTCCCAGCTCTAAATCCAGGACCCTAAGAAGTTCACCTTTAAGTCTCCTTTCCTCAGGAGACTTCCTAGGTGTGCATTGTCTGGGAGAAAGACAGAAAGGTGTGGTGAAGCAGAGGCTGGACTTGAAATTGGAGAGACCTGGGTTCAAATCTCATTGCACTTTCTATGTGACTGTGTGACCTTGGACAAATCACTTAATCTCCTTGCCTCAGTTTCCTTATCGATAAAATGAGAGCATATTTGTAAAGCACTTTGCAAACCTTAAAGAGTTATTTAATTGCTTATTAGTACTGTCATCGATTACCCTCAACCTGGCCTAGCCCGTCTGCCAAGAGGGTTTCCTGGGATGTGGCCACTGCACTTACTACAGCTTCTTGGAGCCAGAGGTGAGAGGTGGGTGATGCCAAAGGTGAAGGAGCAGCCCTCACACCAGAGGTGATAGTCTTCCCTGAATACCCCATACACCCCAACCAGCCACCAACCCGATGGTGAGTTAGGGGGGTGTCTACCACAAGCACGTGAAGATTTCCCCTGGCAGAATGGGCGGATGAGAACAATTTGTCCCAAGGACCACGAAGGTGGCTGAAATGGGTTCGGTGGAGCGTTCAGAGCTTGGCCAGGCATCGAAGATGCCGTCATCAGTTGTCTTGACTTTTGTCTTGCCACTGGACTTCAACGACTCTGGAAGAGTGAGGCTGATGACTTTGAACAGCTCTGCCTCACTTAAATCCAGCTCATGCGAGTCAAGATGTCAGTCACGATGTCACTGGTCCTTTTGAAAATGTAAGACTAACACCATTACTGTCTGCATCACTGGTGTTGTCGTCTTCGTCATCATCCTCCAGCCCGACCGAGATACCGTGACGTCTAAAGCTCTCCCCAGTTCCAAGTCTCTGAGCCTGTGCCCCTATGTTAGCATTCCTGAATGTCCAACAGCTGGCTGCCCATCCCACACTCCCAGTGGGGCTGCCCCCTAAAATTTCAGTCATGGCCCCAAATGTGACAACCAAAGACCCTCCTCTCTCACATGGCACAACCCTCCTAGAAGATGTCCAGGAAGTCTGTAGATATGTAGGTAATTCAACTGCATTGAATTCTGTGCCTACTTACTCAGCACCTACTCTGTGCCAGGGCTCAGTGCTGCCAGTCATTGTGGGGAATAAACCCAGATGGGGGCTTCAGCCTTAGAATACAAACAACTCAAGAGCTGAGACAGAGCATGAGACTCACACACTGATGTTGACCTTGAGTCCAATTATCTCCATTTATTAGGGAAGGTTAAACAGCAAAATTCACCACAATAACAGCTGACATGGATATAATGCTTTACATGCCTTACCTCATTGGATCTTGTGAAGTGGGTGCCTGTTTTACAGGCTGGTGTGTGCCTGAGGCAGGATTTGAACGCTGTCATCATGACTCTAGGTCTATAATGCTTCTACTCTGTCTCTCAGAAACTGCCTCAGCCAGAAAACACAATCTTTTTATAAAGATTGTTTTAAATGCCAACCAAGGGCAACAGAGGTTAAAGGTTCACTTCATGTAGAAGTCTATTACACACCACCACAGAACGGAATAACAAAAGGTTGATTTATACCCACCCACAAGAAGTGGTGGAAGGGAACACAGGCTTGGAGAGGGCTGGGTTTCTATGAGATCTGGCAAACAAAGCCAAATCAACCCAGAAGCAAGTATAGACAAAGCAAGGAGGACCACAAATACACGTGAAATAAGACAGAGGAGCCAGCATTTTATAGAGAGCTTTCCTCATCGTTGAGGACAGTCCATAGGATGCTCTTACTTTAGTACTTCATTTAAGGAAATAGAAGTAGCTATTCAAAAGATGAAGGCGGGGAGAAATCTGGGCCAGAGGCAACATGTTTTCTAGGCCATCAGGGACCTGCTTCCAATATCTCTCCAAGAGGGGAAGAGTTCAAAAGAATTGAAGAGACAGATAACAGAGAGAATTACTGAGGAGGCCTTGTAACATCACAGGGCTTGATGAAATTATTCTTTAGAAGGTGATTGGGAAACACGAGCAGCTCACAAGCCCTCTCTCACCTTTCACTGCTTCATAAAGTCCTAAGAGAATGGTCTGTGCTGAGGTCAAGGCTAGCCTTGATGAGAGCATGAGGAGGGATAATTGTCTCCAGCAGACCAAACCTTCACAGCAGGCTGGGAAATGGAGAGAATACAAGAGCTTCCTGCGTTTCTTGTTTCTTACTGAAGAAAAAAAAAAAGGCATCTGGCTGGGGAGCAAGGCATAGCTTCCTCCAACACCTGTTAAGGTTTTTATAAGCAAATGGTAAACCCATGCTAAATGGAACCCCAAAGATGACTATTTAATCATCTACTAAGCATCAACATTGAGTGAGTTATAAAGCAAGGAGGCTCCCATTACTTCCCCTGTGCCCTATGGAACTCCTGTTCTATTGTTAACTAACTACCCTTCTTACTTATGCCCTCAGGCTGGAAATCACTCTTTATATATTTTCCGCTTAATTTTCTATAAGCTCCATGAGGAAAGGGGCTATTCATTCTGGTTTCATCTTTGTGTACTCAGCATCTAGAGCAGTATCTGAATATGCAAGGCACCCAATAAAAATCTTACTGAGTTGAATTAAAATTAATTGAATCTTGGCAGACCATAATCTCTGAAGACTCAGAATTTCAGGAGACCCAAAGGGCAATGAAGATACTCGGGGTGGGAGTAAATAAATTGTGGAATGTGGCCAGTGGTGACTAGCAAACAGGAGGCTGCATAAAAACAACCTCCAAGACATGCATGATCAGAAAGGCAGGTGGGCAGATCTACCCAGCACTCCACAGACTCCTGCTGAGTCTGCCAATGCTTCACAGCCTGCAGGGCAGTGCTGAATTCAGGTTGAGTTTATTTCTCCCTTGGCTCTGGTTCCGGTTCTCCAGACTTTGCAAACCATGCCTCAACTGCCTTTTCCCCCTGGAACTCCCCTCAGCGTAGGGTGGAGAGCCTTTTCCCGCTGGAACATCCCTTCCCCTACAGTCTCCCCTCCCCCACTCTCCCGACTTCATCTTCATATCCCAAGGAGGGCTCCTCTTCCTCCTCCCACTTCCCAGCTCCATTTTATCGCTCATCCTTCCCCATCCTTGAATCTTTTTTCTTTGTATTTGACTGCCCAGCTCTTAGCATGGTGCCTGGTACATATTAAGCACTTAACAAGTGAGTATTGACTGAGTGACTGGCTGAATTCAGGCCCTCATTATGCCTCATCTGGCCCATTGCAACAGCCTCCTCAGAGGTCTCCCAGACACTCTTCAATGTACCCTCACCGCTCTTGAGCTATCATTCCCAAAGCACAGACCCAATCAGGCCGTTCTCCCTCAAGAAGCCACGAACTCCTTGACCAAGAAAGACAGCTATCACCAAGAACTGCACAGGATGAGAAAGTCTGGGAAGGATTGCTATATGGACTGGGAAGAGGGGATCCTGGCATTGTTGATGAGATAATCGACCCATCAAAGTACAGAAGGACAAGTGCGAACCTGCCACCACACACATCTTGTTCCTTGGATTATGATGAGGGAGCATAAGTGACTCAGAATCTTGGAGGAAGTCACGGGCAGCTGGAAGTGAAAATCAGAGGCAAAGCATTCCTGAGACCGTAACTCAGAGTGCTGGGCCTAGAGTCAGGGAGACTGTGTTCACATCCAGCCTCAGACCCTAACTATGTGACCTTGGGCAAGTCATTTAACTTCTGTTTACCTTAGTTTCTTCATCTGTGAAACGGGGGTAGCATGTACTATCTACCTTGTTGTCAAGATCAAATGAGATAATGTTTGTAAAGCACTTTGCAAACCTTAAAGGTTTAGTTAAATGCTCATTGCTGTTATCATCATCATCATCATCATCATCAGTCATTGTCATCCTCCTCCTCAAGGCCCTGCCAAGATGCCAGAGATGCAACCCTCCAACTTACTCTCACTCTAGCCATGGGCAATGCAACAGGAGCATAGAACAAGAGGAAAATCAAGCCCTGAACCTGGCCCAGAGCCACATGGAAATCTTACCTTACTTCCCTTTGCTGGAGAGAAGAAAAGAAAGATAGGTTTGAAGTTTGTTGCAGGGTAAGATCATCGATGAGACTCCAAAGAGTCATCAAAGTGGATGATCAAAGGAATCATCTCAGGGAGCCCAGCCTCCTCATTCTGCAGGAAAAGAAATCAGCTCAGAGGGCTTCACCTAAAGTTATGTAACCAGTAAGCAGTAGGACCTCCATTTGAACCCAGATCCACTGTTTTCGAAGTCTGTGCTCTCTCCACTGAGGTTTTCACCAAATGGTTCACTGATGCCAGACAATAACAAAAGAACTCTGGGAAGAAAGAAAGGAAGGAAGGAAGGAAGGAAGGAAGGAAGGAAGGAAGGAAGGAAG